CTCTCTCTCTCTCTCTGGCAAAAAAATAAATAAATCTTACAAAAAAAAAAAAAAGAAAATTTAAAAATACTTTCAAAAAGAAAAATTAAAATAAACAACAGATGTTAGAAACTAATGACAACAATAGTATAAATGGAAACACAGAATGACACCGAAGGTATATCAGGAAAAAATTCATAGCCTGAAAATTAATAAAATAAACATTCAATCTAACAGTGGGAGGTGGAGAGAGAACAAAATAAACATAAGCAAATGACAAAGAGCAGATTTAATAAAGATAGCATAGACATTAATACATTAGAAAATCATAAAAATGTTGGAACACAGAGGTAGTTTTCAAAAAGAACAATAAAATGTATAAACTTCTGCAAAGCTAATCAAGGAGAGAATGCATAATGTGAGGACTGTGAAAGGCAACACAAATACAGATACATTTTTTTTATTTTCATTTTTTTTTTTTAAAGATTTTATTTATTTGAGAGGGAGAGCTTGAGCGGGAGGGAGGGGTAGAGGCAGAGGGAGAAGCAGGCTCCCCACTGAGCAGGGAGTCCAATGCGGGACTTGATCCCAGGAGCCTGGCACCATGACCTAAGCCAAAGGCAGATGCTTAACCAACTGAGCCACCGAGGTGCCCCCAGATATATTTTTTTAAAAAATCATCAAATAGCTGTATAAAACACTTTATTAATGATTCTGAAAATGTCAAAGTTTATATGTCAAAGTACCAAAATTAACTTAAGAGATAGAACACTTGAAGGAACAAAACCTACCTAAAAGGATTTACTAGTGAATTCTATTAACTATCAAGAACTAGCTAACTCATGTGACGAATAAATTGATGGCTGCATACACAATAGGTGGATGGAAGAAGGGATGGATGGACAGTTGGATGGACGGACAGATGGATGGACGAATGGAGAGATGGATGGATGGATTGGGGCCTGGAAATGCAGAATTGGGGATTGAGAAAGGAGTTAAGAATGAGAGGGGAGGAAGGAGTTTTTAAGATTGGGTAAATAAGGCTGATGCTTGACCTCCAGCCAAAATGACCTTGGCCCACAACCACCTGGACTGAGAGAATTCCCTTCTGAAAACCTCAGGTTTGGTCTCTCCTGAAGCTGACAACCCCTGCACATAGGACTAGAGGTCCAGTATTCACCGGCTAATCCAGACAGATCAATTAAGCCAGCAAAACCAGGCTCTCTTAGCGACCTGCCCTTCCCTGGCCAGGAGTCCGCAGGTGCAGTCTCTCCAGGGGGCAGTGAGAGCCATGAATAGTAAGGGTTTTAGCTCCAGCACACAGAGGCGTTTAGCTGCCCAAACTTAATCCCCCAATAATCGGATTATGTAAATTCCTCCTTCAACCCCTTTCCCCTGGGGGACCCGGACCTAGCCCCTAACTCCTGGCACTGGGAGACCAGGATGGGAGAGGGCCCATCATCTGAAGAATTACTGCTAGTGGTATGGGGCCCCAAAATGTTTTCCCATTTTAAAAATGATAAAGGCAACAATAACGTCTAAGACAGTTTTGAGAAGAAAACAGATGTCGACCTTGGTCCCCGTGTGCCGGCACAGGGGTACCCCTTTCTCTGCAGCTCATGTCCAGCTGTGCACAGATCCCCCTTACAGCTTCTTGTTTCATCTTGCATCACACATTTCTGATCTTGTGGTCCCGTTGCCACAATTCTTTTTTACACTCACAGAATATGCTATTAAGCACATATATTCTCTCACAGGTTTTTGGCTAAGATGAAGGGTAGTATAGGTCCTTGGTTTAAAATACAACCTGCGCTCTATCAGAATTGTGATATAACAGGGCCTGGTAGAAAAGCCTGGGTACTGGGAGGACACAGTGCCCCTTCCACAGCACACAGAGAAGACAGAAGGGCAGAAAGAGGACAAATCGGGGATGTTTGCTGGAAATATCAAGTTGTGTTTCTAAAGGCCCCCTTGTGCGAAAGTTGACCAATTAATTTTCTCCAACTCACCCTCCAATCCATCCTTTGCATTGCCACCAGAATGAGCCTTGTAACCTGTAAATCTAAACATATCGTTCCCATCTTCAATCCACGCAGGTGGCTTCACATGGACTATCTTCTCCTCCACTCCTCCCCAGGTGATTCCGGCAGTCTTTCCCACCCTTCCACCCAGGTACCCAGGCAACTGGGACCCCTGCCTTTTCAGATGTGCTTTAGATGGCCCTGTACTAGCCCTCCTCCAGTACCCATCTGGGGCCCATTTTCCACATTCTAGATCACATTCTTGGTATTCAGGACCCCTGGATTTAGACCCCACTCTGGGTATCCAGGACCCCTGAATTTCTGCTCCAGTGGCCCTGAGCCCAATTTCAGAGCCTGCACAGGGCTCTTCCTTAGGTCCATTTGGGCTGGGAGTCCACATCATTCACTCAAGGCCCTTCACAGAGCAGAACAGAGCTGAGCAGTGGGTAAAGAATGGGGATGGGTCAGGAGTCTCCAATTGTACCTTTGTCCTGGATCCCACAAATGTCAGGGGCAGCCCTGCCTCAGGGCCTGGTTTAAATGCCATCCCTCCCACAAGCCATCTCTGATCCTCCAGCTAGAATCTTGTGCCTCCCCAATTCCAAGATCACACTCTCTGGCACTCAGGACTTTCTTTTGTATTTAGTCATTTTTGTCATGCCTTTCCCTCCCAAAGGCTGTGAACTCCTTGAAGGCAGATGGAACGTTTTCTTCACCTTCTTGCCTCCTGAAACTCTAGCAATGCATGCAACAGCTTTTTTTATTTATAATAAGAACTGAATTTTTTTTTTTATGGAGGGGGACAAAGAACCCCAAAGTCTCAGTGGCTTACAATAGCAAAAATTTACCCCTCACTCATGTTACATGAGGGCTGTGGTTGGTTTTAGGTTTGCTCTGTGGCTTTCAGCCTGAAAGAGCAACCCCAAACATAACTTTCTCATGATAACCCAACTAGGAATCACTCTTTTTTTTTTTTTTAAAGATTTTATTTATTTATTTGACAGAGACACAGCAAGTGAGGGAACACAAGCAGGGGGAGTGGGGGAGGGAGAAGCAGGCCTCCCGCCGAGCAGAGAGCCCAATGCGGGGTTCAATCCCAGGACCCTGGGATCATGACCTGAGCTGAAGGCAGATGCTTAATGACTGAGCCACCCAGGCATCCCTAGGAATGACTCTTAAAGCTCCCACTCCATCACCACAGATGGCAGGTCTGCTCATATTCCATTGGCTGATGCAAGTCACATGGCCAAGCCTGGCCCTGGGTGGGGAAGTCCTTTAGGGAGGCACTGTCCCTCCCATGGCAATGCGTGAGGCTATATAATCCTCTCCCAGGGAAGGGAGCTGGTAGTTGTCTTTACAATCCTGTCATTGTCCCTATTTTCCAGATGAGGAGACTGAGGCAGGGAGAAGTTACATAATTTGCCTAGGGTCACATAAATGGGGTAGACCAGAGAGTTCAACTTGGGTAATGCAGTTCCAGAGTCCTTTACTCTTAACTGCTGAGCTGTAATGCATTGTGAGTTTATCATACCAAATCCTTTGCTGGGTCCTTCAGAGAATGTGATGTCTAGAAATTCATTACTTATCCATTCTTTAATTAACCAATGTTGATGAATTCCTATTCACTGGGGTTGGGAGGAGACAGGCAGAATAAATAAGGAAAATATTACTAAATGGGGATGAGCACTAAAGAGAATAAAGCAGGGAAGGAGGATAAAGAGTCCCTATGTGTGTGAAGTGCAATGTTAGATGTGGTTCTCAGAATCTTCATGAGAAGGTGACATTTGACCAAAGACCTGAAGAATGTCAGCTCCTTGAGTGCAGGGATTTGTGTCTGTTTTGTTTGAAGTTGTCTCCCTACACCTGCACAGGGTGGGCCATAGTAGGTGCTCAGTAATAAGGGTGGAATGAATGAAAGGAGGTGGGGAGGAGGCTGGAAAACTATGTGGATAACTTGGAGGCAGAGTGTTTCAGGCAGAGACAAGAGTGCAAAGGCCCTGAGGCAGGAGGGTGTTTGGTGTGTTCCTGAAACAACGGTCAGAGTGGCTACATTTGACTAAACCACAGGGAGAGAAAGAACAGACAGGTCAGTAAAAGGTATATCTTAGGGGCCATTGTGAAGACGTAAGTTAACTCTGAGTGAAATGGAGAGCCACCTAAGGGTTTTGAACCAGAAGTGACAGGAATCCAAACTGGATTTTCATAGGATCCTTCTGAGTGATGCTGGATGGCAGACAGGCAGAGCAAGCATAGAAGCAAAAAGACCAAGTAGAAGGCCACTGAAATAACCAAGCTGTGTGCTGGGCACTGTGGACCCCGAGATGCATAAATCCGGGTGTCCGCCCAGTGCAGTGACTGTTACACTTCGCTGGGCATCTTCATCTCCTGGAATGCTTAGTAAAAACGCAGATTTCGGATCCCACCCCCAGAAAACCTGATCTAGTGGGTCAGGGTCGTGGGCCTGGGAAGCGGGGCCGCAGGCAGTGGGGAGGGACGGGCGGGAAGGGGCCCCGTGGGTCGCGGAGACAAAGGGCCGTGTCCTATAAAGGCAGCGGCGGAGGCGCGGCGTCCAGGCGAGGGCGCACACGGCCAGCGACGGCGACAACGACGGCGCGGTCTCCCGGCTCTTGGCGAGGAGGTGCGTCGACCCTGGAGGGACATGGGTGCCGCCGGGGCCGGGCTCGTAGGCCAGCCGGTCTCCCGCGCAGCCCTGGAGTCCGAGCCGCACTCGCCCGGGAGGACAGAGGTGTGGAGGCGACTTGGTAGCAGCTACCAAGTCGACTCAGTGCGAAGACCTGGGGTTTTTCCGAGGGGTGGGGGTGGGGGGGCGGGTGGTGGCGCGACTCCGGGGGGAGCAAAGCGATGCCCTTGTGCTGTTGGCCTGGCCGCTTCGCCTTGATACGCGATGCTGGAGACACCCCGCAGCACCTCGGAGGGCCGTTTGGGTAGCTTCTGCGTCCGGGTGAGCTACTCCCCCGCACCTGGCAGGTGCGAAACTTGAGCGCGAGATGCTTTCCTGGCCGCCGCATTCAGGCTAGCGGGAGCGAAGGTTATAAAATTAAAAAGGGAAAAGATGGGAAGAAGTGTGTCGGGGCTTCAGGTTGGGCAGGGTGGGCGGAGCATTCAGGTGCATCAGGCGGTGAGGCGCAGGTGGAACAGGCAGCTCTCCCAGAGCGCGGGGTGCCCACCCAAAGACTGTGACTCATGGTAAGTGTATTTATTTAGAACATCAACGTGCAGAGTTGTCTAATGAGAAAAGTAATTTGCATAATAGTATGTGTTTTGATTTTTAGAGGACATATGTATTCTGTCTAAAGGATCTGTATTATATTTATACACACCAAGCTGGCTGCTTCTGGGGAGTAAGATTGAATAGGTAGAGAGCCTTTATATTTTTTTACTTTATGCACTTGTGTAGTGCTTGTTTGTTTGTTTGTTTCTTGGATGAGCACGTGTTACTTCTATAATGATTTCAAAAGGCAAAGCTATGCCCAGTGCTGGAGGTTAGGCACCTTCCCCTAACCCAACTCTATAAGCCACCTTTCATCTCTCTCTTTCCGGAGTCTGTTTTCACTTATTTTCGAGAAAAAGGTGAAAGAAGAGACAAATACACATGACCAAAAGACAGGAGGAGAAATTTAAAGTCTTATGTACAAAGAGCCATATGAGTCTGAATGCCTGGGACAGGCCACCGCAGGAATGTTAGGATGAGCCTGTGTGCTCCCTTTCTTGTTGCCGCAGGCTCTGTGTCCAGGAACCACTGTCATAAAAAAGCAAGCAGTCCCTACTGGGGGCATCCATTTCTGCAGGGGCATAGTTGTCATTCTTCTCTCTGGTAACTTGTTACCTTCAGTGGTGACAATATAATAGAGAGAAGTTTATGCACACCTATATTCCTATTATATCTACCATTGCATTCCTCCTGCCCAGGCATCCCTAACCCCATGTCCGTGACACCCACCCAACCAGAGGCATGTAATTAGAAATCAGGGGTTCTATACATTTGGATGGGGAAAAAATTACATCTTTATTTCCAGTAACCTTTGATCTAAATTTAGCATTTCCTTTATTTATGAATGTAGGTAATAAAAAATAGTACTGGTGACGATGTCATCAACAAAAATCATAAATACTTTCATCTTACAGATGTCGTATATCTTTTGATTACATATCACTGTGTAGAAAGTATGGTAATAAATAATTTAATATGTTAAAAACAAAGTATATTATTACTGTATTGCATTTTAAAATTATTTTAATAATTATTAATTATAATTGGTGATTTTTATGTGTCTATTTCAGTTCATGCATTTAAAATAATTGTTTTGAGAAGGGAACCAAAGGCTTTTTACTTTATGTATTTCAAATCATTGTTCTGGGATAGAGTCCTCCCCTAGGCTTCCCCAGACTGCCAAAAGAATCCATGCCTTAAAAAGGTTATGTACCCTGACCCAGCAGGAGTCGGTGGTGACAAAGATGCATCAATACAGAGGCGTGGGACACAGGCTGTGCCACTGACTCCCCATGTGACCTGGGACAACATGTTTTACCTCTGTTTTGACATCTATCAGACGTTTTCTGATTCTGTGGCATCTGGTGTATTTTTTAAGGTCTTAAATTATTCTGAAATCAAGCTTAGCAGTAATCAGTCCTTACAACTGGAAAAGCACTAAGTGCAATTTTCCTTTGATTTAATGAGTACGTTAGTCATTTCCCAGTGACCACTACTTTGAATTTTCCCAGCTTGTTAAAGAACTGATTTCTATTTCCCCCTGTGGAGGAGAGTAACACCCTTGAGGATAAATCAACAAGGCATTATTAATCTCCTTCTAGGATGGCAGGCTGTATTTCTGAAGCCTATCTTTTCCTCTCCTTATTTCCTCTGTCTGCTTCTAGCATAATAGGATTGAGCCCTCTTAGAAGAGAACACCAGTTAGTTTATCCTGCTTAATCTTTTTCTTCCAGCTTGAAAAAGACGCCCCCTGCCCCCACCACCACAAGGGACTAGAGTTGACTTAGTGAGTGAGCTAAACCCTCTTTTGGCAAGAGAAGCTTGAAAGTAACTTTGCTCCCACAGTCCAGGCTGCAAAGCAGCCAGCCTCGGTGTAAGCAAAACTGGATAGTTTTCTTTCTATCTTAAAATCCCTTGATTTAGGTTCAAACTGTCCTACGTTAGTTTTACTTGGTTACAGTTCTGACGACACCCATATTTTTCACTGTAGATGAAAGAGTAGGCTATTTAGAAATGAGTTAAGTGAGATCAAAGGCAATAGGCAGGGGCTCCTGGGTGGCTCAGTTGTTAAGCATCTGCCTTCGGCTCAGGTGATCCCAGGGTCCTGGGATCGAGCCCCGCATCGGGCTCCCTGCTCGGCGGGAAGCCTGTTTCTCTCTCTCCCGCTCCCCCTGCTTGTGTTCCCTCTCTCGCTGTGTGTGTGTGTCTCTCTCTCTGTCAAATAAATAAATAAAATCTTTAAAAAAAAAAAAAAAGGCAATAGGCAGGGCACTGTGGCGTTTTAGAGCAGAAATGGGCCCTCGGGATCACCTAGTCCACCCCCCTTCGGTTTGGAAGGATTCATGGTAAGCCCGGAAGGCCCCCGGAATGCCTGAGTTGGGTGCTGCTTCTCTGCTCCTACAGGCCCTGGGCTTCTCTTTCCATTCACAAGGCACTGGTTTCTTCAGGGTCCAGCAGCACAGTGTCCGGCACACAGGGTCAGTAAGTGTTGTTACGTAAGTTCGGAGTGCGTGTGACTGTCATTGGATCATGGGTCCTACCAAGAGTGTCTCCACGGAGACCCAAGTGGCCGGTGGAGGGAGCCTGAAGCCAGCCAGTGAGCTTGGGCGGCCATGGCTTCCCCTTACCACTGGTTCTCAGCACAGCCGTCTGTCTTCAACCCAGACAGAAGCAGGAAAGGCAACAAGAACGGGGTTGGGGAAATGTCCTGGGGCCATAGAGTTGACTGAGAAATGCTGTTCTTTGGAGTAATGACCCTTCCCGTCTGTATAGGGAAGAGAATCCTTGTATTTATTAAGCACCTATGTAGCAGGCTCAGTTATGTATTTATATACTTTACAGAATGTATTATTTAATCCTCACAAGAACCCTGGTGATGGCTTTATTTCCATTTTCCAGAGAATAAATCGAGGCTTAAAGAAGTTAACTGATTGTCTCAGAACCATATAACTAAGAAATTGGGAGCTGAGATTCACAGCCAGGTCTTTCTACATTCAAGCCCATAAACTTTCTTAGTTTTTCAGAATCATATAACTAAGAAATTGGGAGCTGAGATTCACAGCCAGGTCTTTCTACATTCAAGCCCATAAACTTTCTTAGTTTTTGTCTGTTATGAAGCAAATAATATACGAATCCTTTCTAGTTATAAAAATGTAAAATATTACCCACCTATATCAAATAAAACACACCCATCTCCTTTTTCTGTCTTCCCCCAACCCGCTGTCCTCCCCCAAGGACCCACTGTCAACACTTTGGCCTGAATCCTTCCATGTATTTTGCTCTGCATCCAGACATACATATATGTCCATAGACATATAGAGCAGAACAAACAAATACATAAATCAAGCTCAGACCTTTTCTACTACACTGTAGCTTCTTCATTAGGAAAAAAAAAAAATGCTAAGTTGCAACCAACTTTTACTTTTCCCTGTTTTATTTGTAGAGATAATAATTGTAATTATTTAGTATTTATTGACCACTTACTGTGTGCCAAACACTTCACTAAATTGTTTTATGTGGATCATTTTATGTGTCCTTACAGGTAGTACCCTGAGTTCTCCTTTACTTACGAGGCATTTGATACACAGAGAGTTTACGTAGATTGCTCAGGGTCACACAGCTAAGGAACAGAACCAAAAGCCAAACCAGGGTTCTGGCTCCGAAGCCCATGTCCTTACCCACCGTGGAGATGCTTCCACTGGCGACTGATCCCTCTAGAGTCAGGGCTTGAGGGTAACAGAGTGGCTTGTTCTAATTAACTGAGATCATCATTTGGTTCCTACCTAAGGGCAGAGGTCCCAGCACACAGTGTAAAGAAATAACCTCTGGGATATGTCAGCGGCCCTCGGCCAATCCCAGCAGTGTCTACAATGCCGTCACATAGCCAGCACTGCTTGCGTATGTATTTAGCATGAGTTAATGCATGAGAAACAATACCTGACACAGAGCAAAGGCGCTGGTTGCGCTTACATTCCTTAGTTTATAGTTCACAGAATGCTTTCACATGCAGTATTCCGTTTAATCCGTACAACAAACTCTGAGGAAAGGACGGTATAATTACGCCCATGGTATAGCTGAGGAGAGGCTCAGGTTGGTGAAGTGACTTAGGCAGCGCCTCACAGCTGGCTGGTGTTTGGTGCTGTGACCAGAACACACACCCTCTGAGGGAGAAGGTGGTTTTTCCCCTATGCTGAGCTCCTGCTGTACCTGCCTCCAGAACTGCAGGGATCTGGTGAGTGTACTGCTTCCTTATGACACAGAGTTTCGAGAGGGATGAGGGGTTCCTATTTCCAGAGTAGAGCTCTGGTGCTCAATATCCACCAGATGCTGAGAACACAGAGGGGTTTGTTTGCTGATGCATCTTCTGCATTCCCACTAAGGCATGTTAATGCAAGCTGCCTGGCAAAAGGGACCCATGCCTCTAAGAGTTAAACATGGCAAAGGAAGATTTGGCAGTAGATGGTGATAGTCAACTCTCCCGGAGTTGGAAAGGTCACCCAAGTGCAGGCTTGTGGAGGCCTGAATATCTTCTGTAGCATCCACGGCAAATCGCCACTCCCACCTGCCCCTTGTCTTTTCTTCTTGTCACACCAAATATCCCCACTTCTGTTGTTCATACAACAGGGTTTCAAGACTCTTCGTCACTCTGTTCCTCCTCCTCTAAATGTGGTCCAGGCTGATATTTTAGGTCTTGCACAGTGAGGCCCAACACTCCAGGTGAGGTCTTCACGCTATCATCTTCATTCCCCAAATTATCTTATTAGTGAAAGCTAGGAGTACAGCTTTTATTTTTTTGAGAATCCATATTTAAATCCCTATTGGCTAAATATATATTTTATCTGCGCAAGTACTAAATCCTATACTGTGCCTGATTCTGAACAATTTGGAGGATTTGGTGATAAAAGAAATAGTGGGGATACTGGGATAAAACAACCTTGCAACAGGAGGCTTCGAAACATCTAGGGAGAAAAAGGCTGAAGGGTACTGTTCTTACACTGTCCTTTCTTCTACCACATTTTCTTCTTTTATCAAAAGGAAGACTCAAAAAGAAAAAAAAAAAAAAGAAAAGAGAAAAAACAAACAAACAAACAAACCCCAAAACTAAAAATAAGGAAGTGGAATTTCCTAAAACCTGGGTCAAAAAGATCTAATATCTCAAATTCTTGGCAGGACATGCGATACCCACCATCGCTTACAAGGTATTGGCCCTTAGGGCCCTTTCTCTTTCCTGTCTCAGGAACTCAAACATGACCAGGAAGATCTTCACAAGTACCAGGGAGCGGTGGAGGCAGCAGAACGTCAACAGCGCCTTTGCCAAGCTGAGGAAGCTCATCCCCACACACCCTCCAGACAAAAAGCTGAGCAAAAATGAAACACTTCGCCTGGCAATGAGGTACATCAACTTCTTGGTCAAGGTCTTGGGGGAGCAAACCCTGCAGCAAACTGGAGTGGCTGCTCAGGGAAACATTCTGGGACTCTTCCCCCAAGGATCCCACCTGCCGGACAAGACTCTACTCGGTGACTACCAGGTTCCTTCACTTGAACCAAGCCACAGCATTGCGTAGCGGGGCTCTGGCTGTCCTCACCCAGGGCAGCAATTGCTCAGAAGCCACTGGCTGTCGACAGCCTTTTGCATGTTCCAGTGTCAACTTGATGAATAATTTGTGAGGCATGCATTTAAGCTTCACAGGAGGTGGCTCAGGGACAGCTGCAGGGAGCCAGACAGAGGCCATGAGGAAGATGGTTTTGGAGTCTGCCACCCGCGGAGCTCCAGGCAGAGCAGCCTGCCTCTATTTTATGGATCCAGGATCTGCATAAGAAGTTGTTTGGGCAGGGGGGGGTGGGGAGGCCGGGGGAAGCATAGGTTAAAAACAGGTTTGGAAATCGCTGTTTTACTCAGTATGTTTTCAGTTACAAGGAAGGAATTTCCCCATGACTGATCTCAGACAGATGAGTAGAAAATACTTGCCTCAGAACATATTTTACAGATTGTTTTGAAGAATGAGGTATATGTGATCGAGGGTGAACAAAATAACGTTGATAAATGTGAAGAGAGCCCTCACGGAAACCAACCTGGAGACTTGTGAAAACTTGAGGGAAAAGACCCTCCTGACACGTGAGGATTACAGAAACACAGCAGATAACATGTGGAAGAGCTCTGCATCCTTTAACCCTGTGGAAATATGAAGTGTTACCTGCCTTGAGCCATTTATATCTATGTTATCTCTGAAGCCAAATGGTGGATTATTTCTGTGAGAGGAAAGGACTTGATAATTTATGAATTAGAGTTCATAGTTTTCTAAATAGCTAAAATAGGTTATCTAACCCCTTAGTTGCGCATGTCAGGCATTAAAACTTTTAATTCAGCCTGAGTTCCTCCTGGTTTAAGACCTGTAAACTTCAAATATAATTATGAAAATCCAAACATTACCATTTAACAACTCATTTAACAGAGAGCTTAGTTTAAACAAAAGATCTAGAGTAGACAATAGGAATGTAATAACAGACTTTAATAAATTAATGAATTTGTAATTTGTCTTCCTAGCTATGGAGCATTAGCTCAATCTTATGCTGGTAGGAGTGGTACCCACTAGTCAATGAAACAGTGCGGATCTGGCAGAACTACTCACAACCACGTGCCCCGCCCCCCCAATGATTGGATTCAAAGATGGATTCAAGGATGAATCCCATAGCTGAGCCCAGAATACAAATAATGTCAGTTGATTGTCTCTGGGACATTTTATTTCCCTAAAGTTCTTGACAGTACATTGGTTTTAAAACCTTCTGAACCACAGGTATGAAACTGATGGATTTGCAATTATGGGTTTCCAGTGTATACACAATAGAAGAATTTAAATTTCCTGCTACTCTAGAAAGAAGATATTGATTTATGGAAGGTTGAACTGAGCCTCTTTGGTTTGGTGATCAGAAAAAAAGCTAGATGAGGCTAGATGAGGCTCCCCCAAAATCTCCTTCCCCCCAAATAACAAGGTCATAATGTCATTAACATTTACACAGCATTCACACTCATAGCCCAGTGCATTTATCCGAAGCACTATGTTTTCCTTCTAGGTCTTCCTTTAAACTGCATTCTATACACTTCCCTATGGACCCAGAATAGTCCAGGGAAACACATATGCACAGAGACTAAGGGACTTCCTCCAAATGTGCATTTCTTGCTCATGAGGTTATGTGGACTTAAATTTGTCCCCAAACTACCAACTGATAGTATATCTCAAAGCTTTGATGACTTCAATTGAACAACATTACTTACTCTCTTCATCTAGCATTAAATCAAAATAACACTTTTGACAGCGTTTTTATGTTAGCTTCCTATTAACATGTTGCTGACGAGGGCACAGAGGACCTCTTTGCCTGAATGCAGGATTTTACTGCTCTTCTCAGAATGAGTGCCCTTTTCTGTTGTTGGGGCCATGTCTGTCAGTACAGAGGGTCTTTCCACTAAAGTGTAAGAGAGTGCTCCTGAAAAGTCGTGAGACTGAGTTATCATTAAACTATATGAGGGGGATAATGATTTAAAGAAACCCTGCAGGAAATTCCATTGATAAATGAATAAACACTTAAAATATTACTTGATGTAATTTACCTCTTAAATTATTTACAAGCTTAGATTTTGGTATATCAAGTTGTGTGGGGTTAAAGTGACTGTCAAAAGGAATTGTAGGTACACATGGATCAAAACCTTTGGCAAGGTATCCATGGGACTGGAAACTAATTCAAAAATTACTCTGTGGTCTTTCATGGTGTCTTATACTCAAGGCTTGGTGATTGCAGTAGTAAGAATTTTCCATTAAAACACATTATAGTTCACTGATGGTACATCTCTTTATGGATTATTTGAACCCAACAGAAAAGTTTAGATGGATTATATCTACACTACTCTGTTACTTGAAAAAAATGTTTGGTCTGCTCTGGACACCACTAGAAATTTCTGGAAACCAGGCATAAACAGGGCCACTGATTTATATAGATCATGAGATTGGCTTGTTTTACAGAGGAGAAAATAGGTCCACAGTGTTGTGAAGTGACTTTCCAGAGGTCCCATGGACAATTAATGGAAACCCAGGACACAGTGCCTGATTTCCTGACCCTGTGTCCAACCTTTCTACAGCCCTGTTCAGCCTCTAAGTTTTTTAAGATTGAAAACAGATAAGCACCTTATTGTTATGCTCATCTCTTTTCAACAGCATACAGTAGTCTTCATATGCCTTTTTATTGAAATTGATTTATTGTGCTTTATAGAATGTGATTAGATGTATTAACCAAAGATTTTTTTGTTGATGTGTTTTGTGAGTTTTTAACCACTGAATTTGCTATTTAACTATTAATTTATTGCAAATAAATTATTTAAGAAAAGAAATTATTCTTTAAAAAAAGAATTTCATAAATTTACTAAGCTTTTCCTCCTGTTCTCTCCATCCTCACAGCCACTGCTCTGGCTTTGACCCCCTCCCCCACTATTGTCTTTAGTCTAGAAAAAATCTAACATGCCCTTGTTAGTCTTTCTTTCCTCTCTGTTTCTCTCTCTCTCTACCTCTGGCTCTCTCTTCATTTCACCTTACACACAGCTCCCTCACTGTCCTTCTCAAACCACAACTGGGGTCAGATCACTCCCTAGCTATCAAACCTTCAGCATCTTGTCCACCAGACTGAGACAAATGCCTTACTCCAGGCACTCTGCAGCCTGGTCCTTCCTTGTACCTTCCACAATCCTCTAAATATATTGTACATGCTAATGAAACTACCTCCCTTGATAGTCCCCAGACATGTTCTACTTCTTAGTAGCTCTGACTTTTCTCTTGTGATTCCACTTGCATGCATGAATGTTCCCATTCTCGTTCTACTCACCCCTCCACCTGCACCAAATTCCACTCACTAACATCCTTCATGACTGATCTTAAACACCACTCCTTCACAAAGCTTGACTCCTCGTTAAAACACCATCTCTTACATGAAGTCCTCCTAGATTTCCACCATTCAATTGAAACTCTCCTTTCTCAGAATTCCCTTTTGTGCTTTGTGACCCTTACTTCCTCTACTCTAGGTTGCAGACATGTGTGTATATTCTGTCCCCCTTCTCCAGTAAGCTAAGATCTCCTTGAGGAGAGGGATGGTTTTTAACATTTACTCCTCACAAGCAAGAGACCTCACTTTCAAAATGAGAAAACTGTATCGAGACTGCCTCTGTTAAGAATAATCCTCTAGCCTCCCCAAAAGAGGACATTGAAATGAAACTGGAACAGGCTGAGTTTTCCTGAGAAACCCAAAGTCTATTGCTCTTCTTAACAGTTTGTTTCTCATTTCTATTCAGTGTGCCCCTGGCAGCACCTGTCTTAGGAGGTTTCACCACCTAAGAATGGCTTGAGATGGCCAAAATATGTGTAAGTTATGCACAATTGGCTTTGTCCTTAAAAAGGCAAAAGATGAAAGAAGTCTGGGAGAATGGACAGCTTAACTGCTGACCCACAGGCCAAAGGTTAGTTAAAAGTCACATCCTTAAATAAAAAGGTCAAAGATAAGGAGGGAATCTGAAAGTCCAATGGCAATGCAAAGTGAGGGATTTAAACTGGCAGGTGTTAGAAAGGAACGCCAAGGAATGAATGCACTCAAAGGATTGCTGGAAGCCAGGGGCAGTCTCCTAAACCACTTTTGCCTCTGGTACTGTTGGGTTTACCAGAAATAGGGAAACTTTCCCTCTTATTTTTTCTTTCTTGCTGATGACCTATCACAAAGAGATCTTAAAGAGCACTAGATTTTAACATAAATATACATAAATTTAGTTAGGTTTGTCATCTGCCAAATAAATTTAAGAATTTAACTTCCAGAGCTCGAGGATTTTCTGGTAGTCAAGTGAAGCAAACTGTTGAATTGCCTTTTCTGGATAACTCTGACAAAACAGGATTATCATCCAATATGTTCAGACGCTTGGACCTAAGTAATTATCCTTCTAGGAACCTATCATAAAGAATTAATTGGAATTATGGTCAGAGATGTAAGGGCATGGATCTCTGTTTCAGAATTTTACAATGTACATAAAAGTATAATAATAAGAATAAGAGCTCAGACTCTTGGGGTTCCTCCCAACTGCCAGAAACTGAGCCAAGAGCTTCCAATGTGTCAGCTCACCTAATCTTCATAACAATGTTTATTGTTAACATTATGTTAATTATGTGTGTTGTTCTCACTTCACAGATGAGGAAACTGAAGTTTAGGAGTTTATTTATCTTGCTCAAGTTTCTACTGCAGAGTCAGAATTTGACTCTCATTCATTTTTACTCAAAATTACTGCTTTTCACAGATTTTTTTTGCATCAAAATTCTTAATTCTTTTATTTTTAAATTTTAAAAAGTTATTGTCTTTTTTTAATTGAAGTATATTTGACATACAATGTTGCATTAGTTTCAGGTGTGGGAATTCTTTTTATTTATGTTTATTTTTTATTTATTTTTAAAATTAAAATTTAATTTAGTTAACACATACTATATTATTTGTTTCAGGGATAGAATTTAGTGATTCATCAGTTGCATATAACACCCAGCATTCATTACATCAAGTACCTTCCTTAATGCCCATCACCCAGTTACCCCACCCCCCAATCACCTCCCCTCCAGCAACCCTCAGTTTGTTTCCTATAATTAAGAGTCTCTTATGGTTTGCCTCCCTCTCTGTTCTTGTCTTATTTTATTTTTCCTTCCTTTCCCCTATGTTCATCTGTTTTGTTTCTTAAGTTCCACATATGAATGAAACCATATGGTATTTGTCTTTCTCTGACTGACTTATTTCACTAGCATAATACACTCTAGTTCCATCCACGTCATTGCAAATGGCATGATTTCATTCTTTTTGATGGCTGAGTAATATTCCATTGTATATGTATACACCACCTCTTCTTTATCCATTCATATGTCAGTGGACATCTGGGCTCTTTCCATAGTTTGGCTATTGTGGACATTGCTGCTATAAACATTGGGGTGCATGTGCCCCTTCGAATCACTAATTTGTATCCTTTGGGTAAATAACTAGTAGTGCAATTGCTGGGTCATCAGGTAGCTCTATTTTTAACTTTTTGAGGAACCTCCATACTGTTTTTCCAGAATGACTTTTGTGGACGTTGCTGCTATAAACATGGACCCTTTCGAATCACTATTTTTGTGTCCTTTGGATAAATATCAGGTGTGGGAATTCTTAATTTTTTAAATCCTGACCACTTTCATGGAACATTATGGAGCAGGCATATTACCCAATAACACTATTGAGTAACCAAACACAACCCTGAAAAACAAAGCCTCTTGTTTAGAAGCACCAAGCTGGGGGTGATACCACGGTAAGACACCGTGAGGATACTGTCCTGCAGAGGCAGGCTTGAAAGGAGGAGCCTGCAGGAGAAGCTGCTTGTTCCTCTGTTTGGACTTGGCTTCCCCCTTCCCCCTTGGCTTGAGCATGAACTATGGCTCAGGGCATTGGTACTTGTGAATGACTGTGTGTGCGTGCACACACACGTGCGTGCACAAGCATGTACAAGGTGGGAAATCTACTCCTCCACATCTCCTACCTGTTCTTCTTCTGGTTTTAGCTCCTCTGGAGTTGAGGAGGAAGGAGGGTCTAAGGAAATGGATAGTGTTTTTCTTCACTGGGTATGGGATCGTATTCTCTTCCTATATTCAGTTTAGCTGTATCAATTCTTTTTAACTAGTGATACAAGTCCCAGGTTTAGAAACACTGTGGAAGAGCAGATAATTAAATCTCTTGGATTCAACAAGACTCTGCCTTGCACATAGGCTTATGGCCACTGTGACCCTCTCCCCAGTTTGGAAGAAGTGGAGTGCTGTGGTGAATATTTAGCATCTGCTCCAGTAGTCAGATAACTTCAGGGTATTTTTTTTGGATCTTTCACTAAATAAACCAACAAACTTGATGATGTGTGTATGTGTGCACATGTTCTCTTTCCACCAACCAGTGATACACCCAAGAGTGTACAATTGTGGGCGCCTGGGTGGCTCAGTTGGTTAAGCGACTACCTTCGGCTCAGGTCATGATCCTGGAGTCCCGGGATCGAGTCCCGCATCGGGCTCCCTGCTCAGCAGGGAGTCTGCTTCTCCCTCTCCCGCTCCCCCCTTCTTGTGCTCTCTCTCTCTCAAATAAATAAATAAAATCTTTAAAAAAAAAAAAAAGAGTGTACAATTGTGTCAGCAATTGGGAAGCACCAACCCTGTTGCACCTCATACAGGCATCGCACAAAGAATGGATTTTGAAGGATTTAAAAAATGAGACAATGGTGCCCGGAAAATATGTGGAAGGGGTTGGGCTAATCAGTTACATGAGACTCTTGGGTCTCTAAGAGAAGTTCGGAGGGAGAGGTTGTCATATCAGTAACATCTTTTGGCCTGCCCTTCAACTCCATTCAGTTTGGACCAATAAGTAACTAGACAAGGTTATAGCTGAGGATCTGTTGGCCCAAGATCCAGTTTCTTGGTGGCTCTTTAACACTCTACCCAAGGAGGTAGACGTTGTCACAGAGATCACAAAATGAGCCAGATCCCATAGGGAGGAACTGCCGCCAAGGGTCCTGGG